TGTTTTAAAGCACAAACAAATGGCTTAGGTCACATGGTGCAGTAAGGGTGGCTAATACTATCCCTATGTATAAACTGAGTATAAAATTAAGTGGACACTTATTCACTTACATCGCCTGGTGCGATGACCTCGCTAGCTTATTATTCGATTGTCTTACGTAGGAACATCCTTGTTACCTTTCCTCTTAGAGGACCATAGAATTCATGTGTTTATGTTTGGCATACTTCAATTTATACTTTGTGTTTTCATAATAGACTTTGTGTTTTCATACCTAAATACTTTACCTCAATGTTTACGAGTTGTGGAGATAAATTTAGTACTGAGTAGTGTGAATCACTGACTTTTAGGTACTAGGGTAGACATCCCATAGCTGTAGCTAATTTTTCAATTAGCTCACATTGTTCAATTATACGCTCACTCACAGTGTCCTACTGTCACCACAACTTATTTTCCCTCTTAGATTTTGACTTAAAAGATGCTATAGTTTACAATAACATTACTGTAGATGTTAATATATTTTTCCTTCAGTTTCCCTTGGTGAACAATTTTATGTATACAACAGAAATTAGTAATTGGAATCTCAAAACAGCACACTAATTCTCTCAGTGGCTCAATTAAATTAATATTAATTTTCATGCTAAAGCTTCAAATATAAAATTATCAGATTTAAAAACAACAAGATAAGTTTAATGTTCTGTGAGAAGTTCAGTTACAAGGATTCAATACACACAATAAATGGTGACGGGTGAATATTATTTTTTGATATTTACATAAAAAAAACCAACTGAAAGTCTCAAACAGATGATTTAAAAAGTTCATTTTCGGTGATGGTAAGCTTATGTTATTTCTTGAGAAATTGTTGCACACATGTTTCCATCACGATAAAAAAAATTTATTTGTCTAACTAGTGAGCAAAGTGGCACTTTGCGTGGAGCTATACGCGCACCAACACTCCAGCCTGCGCATTTTTACCGCCGTGGGACATAGGCTTTAACTAAGATCAACTGGTTCCTCAGCCAGGAACATTTGATGAAAAGCCAAACGATCAAGGGCTGCTTGGTCAAATTTTAAACTTAACTTGATGATATATATTGATTGTCTACAGACAGAGGTGCGTAACCAGACAGTGCAGGAGTGTTGTCCAGGTCATGTTGCACTGTATGATACATGCATACCTCAGTGTGCAACATGTGACAACATGCTGTGCGACAAGAAGAAGTGCTCCTGCAAACCTGGATTTGTCGGAACTCACTGCAATCAGAGTAAGCGTTACGTTCCCCTCCCTTGCAAGAACAACACAATATCAATTACTACCTAGGATATCGACAGTCGAAGATAGATTCCATGGAATTTGACAGTCATCTAATGTACTACTGTATTAGTTTAATTAGAACAATACTTCTTTTTTCACTATCAAAAATAGTTTTTCGCAAAAGAAAAAAGCTCTTGTATGAGCTTGAACATTGAAAATCATTAGTTTGATTCCTAAGATATATGGGACTAACGTCTGATTGTTATAGATTTTAATGGAGACCTGCTATTTTGGTGATTTCTTATATTTTATTTGAACAGACTTTTTCTCTCATATGCCATGCCACAAGGATAAACACCCCAAAATCTAAAAAAAAATACTCTAGAAAATTTCACGCTAGCTCCAAATAACGTGGTGTGTGTTTCAGCTTGTCAAACAGGCAAATGGGGAGAAAGGTGCTCAGAGGCTTGTGTGTGCAGGGTGGGGGAGGATTGTGATCCTGTGACTGGGAACTGTACCCCTTCCACCTCCACCACATCCACAACAACCGTACCAACACCTACAACCACAACAACCGTACAACCATCGACAACCACCAGAACCGTCAAACTATCAACAACCACCACAACTACTACTCGGCGACCCACAACCACCTCGTCCACCAATGTGTTCATCAATCTCACCCCGACGGAACAATCCTCTTCCGCTGAAGATTTGACAGAATTCAATGTGATCCGGGCAGTGGACAACGACATTGCGAGTGATGATGACTACGCAGTGTCTCCTACTGACAGTGCCATTGTGATCGAGCGCCCAGACATAGGGGAAGCCAACGCTCGATGGAGCGCTCTGAGCACTCACTCAAGTGTCACTGTAGGATCTGTGCTTGGACTGATCGCTTTGTTGGTGGTCATAGTCAGTATTATAGTGAAGTGTCGGGGGAAAAAACAATTTGACAGTGCCTCAACAATCGGTGATAAGAGCTCACTTCACCTGGTAGCAAAGAATAGTCACTATGCAGTGCCAGGTAAGGTTTGAAGTTACTTGGGTTATTTTTTTAATCTGATGATACTTGGAATTATTAAAGGACAAAAGAAAGAAAAAAATAGTTAAGTTGCCTGACTTCGGTATTCTTATTGCCAACGGACAGGTAACTTAAACCATTTAATTAAATTACTCAACTAGGCAAGTCATCCTGGGCTACTAAGTACCATGAAAGAAAATATTTTAGAATTGCAATAATACAAATGAAAATATAGGACATTAGCTACCGATATCTCACTAATTTTACTTTCTTCTTTGCCTTTCAGACTGTTACAACTTTTATGTGTTGTAAAGAAAAAGAAAGACATAAAATGCTTAGTTTGGAAATAATGTAGACTATCTGACAAGAATCCTGGAACTTTGTGACTGTATTTGTTAGCAAGAGCAGAAATTAATTGAGACAAGTAGTAAAAAAAAAAAAAAACTCCATTGGAGCAAAACGATAAAAAAAATTTACTTAAAACACCAAGTTGAGCTAATCATTGTTGATAACAAATTATAAAAGTGAATAGTGTACACCAGATTTAAAACTAATGCAACAGTTTTTAAGAGTTATATTAAAATCAAATGGCAATAGAAAAGTATCATTAGTGTAAACTCCATCTTGTACTGCAACACAAACCATTTCATACTAGAATCAGTTATTGTGACTAACTGAACTGAAATAGGAAAAAGACTGTCGAAGATTCTTAAAGCAGATCAATCTAGAACCTAGAACAGTATGTTACTTGGGAATCCCTTGATATCACTACATATCACAATGAACACAAAGAACATAACAAATGAACAAAGAAACCATTATGATGTAAATTGTTGATAACATTAGAAATATTTGAACTAAATGTCACGGTATAAGGAATGTTTAAATATACGTTTAATAGTAATTAACTTATCAATATGTTACTTTATATCATCATTAAAAGTTACTTTGAATCCTTTTTTTCAGGTCCTCCTCCATTTTCTTTCCTGAATGGCCTTCCGATAGATATAACCAGAGGTAAGAGGTACACTCAGGTGTTTATGGTAAAATGCATTATCAGAAAATGTTTCTTGATTGACTAATACAAGATCAATTCATTAATCCTAGTCTACATAAGGAATACACTATTTTCATGCTCCTTGATGACTGTTGAGTTAATCTATTGTCTAACCCTTAACCAGTTACTTATTGAAAACATTGCTTTTTACAATTTATCTGATGGACAGAGAGAAATTCAGTATTAATCAAGACTAGGGTAGTGTAAAATACAATGAGTGATATTATAGCTATTTACCTTACAAGTGTAGTAAGAGCGTTTTTACATCACGCAGGTGAAGGTTGTGCAACGAGCGGAAGCGAGTTGCATAATTTACCTAAGTGATGTAAACACGCTCTTGCGTAACGTTTAACGTACAAGACTTTTCCTGACCTGACAATATACAGGAGGTTACGAACAATATTAATCATTATCCATTTCACTCATCTTCTAACAGTAACGTTCATTTACAAACAAAAGCTAGGTTAGGAAAATTCTTCAAAACATAACAATAAAATTCAAGAGCACAGCTGATTTCTAGCGTTGAACGTCGTTGGCTCCATAGAGGTATATTTTTTAAGTTAATCACTCAATGCTATTTAAATGGGTTTCATTACATCACCGAGTGAGTTTTTGATACTTTACATCACTCGAGACGTAAGGAAGTTGTATACATCACGCTTGGGATAGGGAAGTTTAACATGGCGGGTTAGGTAAAATTAATTCAATATCTGCAATGTTCATTGTTGTACTCACCCTAGTTGATCTGTTGGAAATAAACTTAATTAAAACTTTCCCAATTCTCTCAATTACAGAAGTGTGTGAAGACATGTACGACCATCCCCGCAGTATACGGTGCCTCAACAACGAACCAGTGTATGACGAACTGAGATACTGATTCCGTTTCCACACTTCACTACAAAGTATTGTAAATAGACATCATTTAGAACTGTTATGTTAAGTTCATCCCCTTCTACTGCTGTTAACACTGGAATTTCGGAATATAAACATTTTCTTTTTCAAAAGTATATTTTTCACCCCTAACATTCTGTTTCTACTGCATGGTTTATTGTACATGTTAATAAGTCTAGGATAAGGGTACACAGTTAAGGTCGATTCACACATATCAGTCCAGTCACAGTTCCGTTACAGTCTAGTCACAGTTGAATCCGCAATTTCTCGGTCGATCTGTCAATTATTAAGTTTCAGTCACTCTTCCGTCACTTTATTTACAGTGTTGTTAAAGTCAAAAATGTTTAATTAATACACAATATTCTTATTCTATCAAATTTTCATCGTCCGTTTTGTTGGTTATTACAAACATTACTTAAAATATAAACTCGATCATTTAAATAAAAAAGTACCATTTTCTAAACCTCAAACACGTCTGTAAGGCATCCGAATAATCCAAAAATATCGGTGAAAAGAAATCTAAAATTGACTGACGGATGCCGGCAGAGCGACTGATGGAACTGCAACGGATGAGTGTGGATAGCGCAAAAGAAAATCCATTTAGGAATTTAAGAATATTTTTGTTAACTGTAACGTGCCTGAAGTGACTGGACTGCGACGTGTCGTAACTGATGTGTGTGAATCGACCTTTAGAAAGATATTGTTGAGGAAACTATAGGCTTGAACCAATCTAAGTTAAAATAGTCAGAAACTGCGAGGAAAATAACAAATATTAGTTTTCTAACTTTTAATGCTTTACTTAAAAACTTCAATTCTTATAAAGTTTCATTTTTCATTTAAAATTAAACCCTATGGATAAGCAGCAGAAAAACTTTCATACAAATTTAAATTATAATAGATTGATTTTTAGTTTCTTACAAAATAACAACTACAATGCTTTCCATAGCTTAAAGTAACCTTATCTTTCACAATAGTAGCCTTTTAGACGTTATTTATTTTGATTATGTTATTCACCACAACACAAATAATTTACAGAGAAATAAATTAAATATACAATAAATTAATGTACAAAAATAATCTTATTGTTTAATTTAGTTGATTTAGTGTATCATACAGACATATTGATTTGTGTAACGTTAGAGTTAGCTTGTTTCATCCACAGATAGATAAGGCACCGGTTTAGTAAGGGTTTTGTGCATCGACATATCAATAGTCAAGCATTCAACATGTACAACATGTATGCTGACTTTTTTCAACTGCTTTTAAAATCAGCAACACGAGGCCTTTAAGACCTGTAGCTTCTTTTTAACATGAAAAACCATTCTCATGAGTAATTTTGGTTGTAAAGTTATGAGATTCTTTAATTTTACAAACACTCAAAACTATAAATTCATTTGCAGTTACTAATGGAAAAATACAATACAAACATGTTATTTAGGCCTATATCAAAAACTTTTGTTAATGAACAAAATTTTTACAACCAATTTAAGCATTTCATTTTTTCATGAATAAAAAAAAGGTGCTTTGTAAATGCAAAATTATGAAGTAAACGTTTCTGTAATTTCACACTACACTAGAACTCAATTACCCATTCCGCAGCAAACCTGCAGACTAAAGGAATTTCCATTTACCTAGTTGGATTTGCATTAAAAGATTTCATAAAAAAATTCTCTATAACAATTAAACATACAAAAACACTTCTTAACCTTTTTGTTTTATTTTATGAGCTTTTCAAAATGTTTGAGATGTATTGGAAAGTTATATTTATTAAGGGTCAAAAATGAGGAAAACCGATTTTCCTCATAAAACCTTGTTTCCATAGTCAGATTATGTATTTTGTATATGGATTTGAACGATTGTGTATGGCAGGTAGGCCTAAATGAAATTGAACGGATTGTGTTTTTTGTCTGGAAACCTTAAAACAATGAAGTAAATCAGTCCCGGGGCTAGGTCTAACCATGAGACCTACGGTAACAGCTTAATCCCTATATGGGGAATTCGCTAAAAATGAGTGCTTACAAACAATTTCAAACAAAACAACGTTTTTATTTGAAAGTAATCTTGATTAAAAATTAGATATAATGTATTTTTTCAATTATTCTTTCAAAAATGAATACAAAATACAAGTTTATGCAAAAACATCAAAAGACCTATAGTGATTGTTAATGCAGCCAGTAATAAAAATAAATATATAAAATAAATTGTAACTGAAATAATTATTGTTCTGGTCAGATATCATAAGTAAATTAATATACAAGACAAAAGTAAAAATACAAAACAATACAATATGAGGCTCAAAAACAAAGAATTGATTTGACGGTATCTAAAACTAGTAGAAGAAGAAAAGTAATAAACAATGTTGAAAAAAAATCTTCCAAACATTGAAGATTCATGGACCAAAGAAAATATTCATTTGTCCGATAACATTTTTATCTGACATAAGTACCAATTTAAGGTTTGTATAAAACCCCAACAAACAAAAATATTAAACAATATACTGGCGAATTATACACGATTAGTAGAATGAGATATAAAAAATATCTAAACATAGAAACAAATTTATTCACTCTTCAATTTGAGTGAAAACACTTAAAACGCAGTATAAATGCTTAAAATTAAAAAGAAGGACCCTGCATGAGTTGGTAAAGACTAGTTGAATGGAACCCGGCTACCAATCATTGAGGAAAGTCTCTTCTAGCGTGGTGTAGGAAGTCAGGTTGATTCCCAGTCTGCAACGAAGAACCAAAAACCGTTAGAAAATATTTATAGTGATAATGTGTTGAAGTATAATATCAGATCTACTGCATTACTGAATTGTTGATATTGATTTATTATTAATTATATCTAAGTGAAAAAGTGAATAATACATACATGTACATAACGCCTAGTAACATAAACTGTGGCAGCGATGAATAAAAAAATAAATATAAAAAAAACCATGATGAAAATGTTGTTTTCAGATCGTTGATGGGGATTGTTAAAAAATTATTAAAGTGTGGGGTTTAGGTTTGGATCTAAAGTAGACTCCCTCTTATCCAGACACCTTTTAACCGGACATCGGTTTAACCGGACTACACTTGGCGGAAATTACATCTGTTTAACCGGACAATTTTTATCAGCACATTGGTTTAACCGGACTAGATCGGCTGGAAGTGTGCGGTACTGAAATGACTGTTCTCGTGGGAAAAGATTTGAGAGCAGTGATCACGTGTCTAGATACAATGCTCTCCTAAATTTAAGTCAAATAGTATACAGTATGCATTTGAACGGCCCGTTTTAAGGAGTATTTGGGGACGTCGGTTTAACCGGAAAATACATTATCCGGGCTGGCCTCGGTCACGAGGAGTCCAGATAAGAGGGAGTCTACTGTAATGACATGCAATAGCATAACTATAATAAATGTACTGTAGCATTGTGGAAAGAACCTAACCTCAAAATTGTGCTTGACCGCTCTATTGCGGTATTTTTTTATGCTGTTTCCGGGTACTTCACCCCTGCCTTTTCCCTCCATTTGGCAATACTGAGAGCCGGCTAGCAACTGTTATGGTTTAGTGCTGCCATTTGTTGGGTTCTTGTAAAACTACGTCCACAACGACTGGGACACAGTAGGTATATGCCTCTCATTCGGATGAAACTAAATTCAAACGTTTTCAAGCACTCATTAGCACAGCACATTAGCTGTTCGCGCCACCGGCAGTGGCTCATCGAGCAAACACATTCAACGTGTAAAAAAAAGAAAACGCAAATTTTTATAAAAAACAAATTCTGAAATAATTAATCTCATGAGAACTAAATTAAAACTTAACCAAAGTTTTGGTGGTTTTGAAATTTGAGATTCAGTTTAGGTTTAGACACATCACTCACTACATTGCTAACAAGCTAAAGGTTCTAAGGTTTAAACTAAATGCATGTGACAACTTACTCCTTAAAGCCGTTGTTTAGTTCATCCACCTTGGAAGGATGGCAGACGATGCTTGTGCGTGAGATGGAAGGGTCAAACAATAATTTGACATATTTGGGCCCCATTCGACTGAGATCCTCCTTGGTAACCTTAGCGATCATACTCACCAGCCATCTGCCACAGCAAAAAAATTAATATACTCACTTTGTTGAAATTTACAGAAGCCAAACAACATATCTATAAAAGAAGTATGTATGTATGTATGTATATACCCTATGGACTCGAAACCACTCGACGGATTGTAATGAGATTTTCAGGCATTATTAAGGATTATTCAAGGATGGTTTGTGTGAAGTTTGGTGATCCGTCAAAAGGGCTCCGCTCCAGAGGGTTTTAAGGGGTCCAATGTCAGACTTTTGGAACTACAATGTTTACAAATAAATATAATTTAAAAGCTGATGTTTACTTTCACCAACTCTGTTTTGTAGGTTTGAATAATCATAACATTCTGTACTAGTCATGATTTAAAATAGTGCCACATTGACACTGTTTCCACAGAATGCAGCACAGAAAACTATTTTACATTTGAATAAGTCCAAATATATTAAACCCCAATCACAGCACACGTGTCCCACTCAACAATGTTTCAATTCTCCACTATTAAATATGTAAACATAAAAAGTAAAAAGAAAAACCTTTATCGAAGTATTATAAGCAATAAAAGCGATGGCAATGACTTAACCCTTTCCACTCGGATTAGTTGACCCCTTGTTGTCCCATAGGCCTACGCTTGCATTTATTGTCATGCAAAAAACATGTTTTGGGTTTTGTGTACATATACTGACTAAAATAATTTGTTGTACTTGAGGGCCTGATTCTTATTCAGCATAAAATTGTACACAAGTAAAACATAATATATCAAAATAAATATAACTATAAAATATTTTTTGTATGGTCATAATATGAAAAAAGAAAAATAATAATATTTTTATCTTTTGTTTTTTACCCAGACAATTTAACAAAAATTATTAAGTGAATAATAAACAAGCGTCCTAGAATTTGTCATTAACCCACCACCCTACTGTAATTAAAAGAAGGAACTCCAAAAATACCTAATGTGAAACTTAAATCCACCCAAGCTGTGCAATGGAACCAGACTGACGATTAAAAAAAAATTACACCAAACCTGATTGAAGCAACAATCATCAGTGGTAAGTTTAAAGGAGAAATAGTCTTAATCCCAAGAATACCGATGATTTCATCCGAATTACCCTTTGAATTCAAGCAACTAAAATTTCCTTTGCGTCTTGCTTTTGCAATCACCATTATAAGGCACAAGGGCAATCCCTGACTATTGCCAATTTAAATTTAGAAAATGCATTTTACACAGCTTTTACAATTTTGTTTACAATGCTTTTTACACGTGGACAGCTGTAGGCCTATGTTGCGTGCTCACGTGGTGGTAGTTACGCCTTTAAAACTTATTTATTTATACACATAATGAAAAAACAAAAACATTGTTTATCCACTGACGATTAAGTAAAATAAATATTCTATTTTGGTTTTTGGTACCGGTACGGTATACATTTTTATTATTTATCGTAAAGAACATATTACCATTTAAAATAATAGTTGTTAGCGCAGCAACGCGTGTCGGGTAACTGCTAGTAACTTGAAAAAGATATTTACTTTTTTTCAAAAGAGCACTGCTTTCAAAAAGATTAAATATAAAATAGCTTTTATTTTGGCAATGCAGATTTTCAGATAAGTGGGACTGTATTTAAATGCAATATTTTTCAAATTACAAATTTCTAAGATAAATTTTTACCTGTTGTAATTATGGTCGACATGTTTGAAGTAAGACAACAGCGACTGAGCCACTACATCCCCGATGCTCTTCTCTCTCTCAATGATCTCAAAGATGAGCGAGCTTTTGGCCGACTCAAACAGCGAGTCCTCCCATGTTACATCGTCTGCCAACTTTTCATCCTAGGAAGCAAACAGAGTTTCATATTTGTAAATTTTTTTCTTTGTGAGATGACAACCTAATTGACATGGGGAGAAAATTGCAGACATTTTGGATGCATCCGGCAATTCATAATTAGGACAAAACAACCCAGAAAAATCACCATCTAACAATTATTACATAAAAATTAGTAATTTCAAAAAAATGCAAAATATGAGTGTAAAAAATAGAGGTGCAATAGACACCTTTTAATTACAGCTTGTTAGGGAGCTTGGTAGTCATGAACTACCAACATCAGCTAATTGTTTTGTGCCGTCTTAATGCTGTTATTGCTTGAATAGCAATAATACTGCTAAAATTGAGATGGAGAGTAAAAAAAGGCTACTACTTAGTATCTAGACAAAACTTAGTAGACTACAACTTAGTATCTTAGTAACTTAGTAGACTTTGTTAGTAGACTAGACAAAATCTGAAGACTTAATGGTTGGGGGTGGTTATTGTAGTTGAAACACTCACAAGGATGACTTTAGTTTTGTTGTAGGCACCGATGACATTGGTAGCTTTGTAGAAAGTGAGGTAGAGAAGTCCTTCGTTTGGTCGAGGGATCATGTTGTACGAGTAGGCAAACCCTTGGCCTCTGATCAGTCTCCACATTGGACCCTGCGACATGTTCAAAGAGACACTGATAAACAGGAACATATTTTGCAATTTTACTAACAATTTATGTTGTATAAAACCCAGGCCCTTGTGCTCTATGTAGATACTTAACCTGTTGTGAAACTAAGCTAGACTGGTTGAGCAGCGCTGCATTTGAATCTTATTTACTGTAATTGGTCTTTTGCTATGCCATAATAAAGAAAAAAAAAATAACTGCATTATGCAAAAAAATATTTAGTTCTCACTAATTTTCAAACACCCCTACACTGATCCTACCTCGAGCTGTGTGAGATACTGCAGGAAGACCAGCAGGGGCGCCAGGTCAGGGTCTAGGAAGTCCCGTATTGCCGGTGCCGTGTGGCAGTAGTACGCTGACTCCACTGCGCCTATCCCAACCACACAGTTGTGTATCTTGGAGGCTGAGGAGTCCTGCAGTAGCTCCCAGTCAGAGGTGACTCGTAGTCTGTGGGGAAAAAATCAGAGCTTACACCTCCATGGAAAACATCTTTAGTTTCTTAGTTCAAACAGTTTAAATATGGAACCCGTAATACTGGAGGATATCTTGGAAGAATCTAGACATTTTTGGATGCTTCCAAGTAAAATATATTTCTGATCTTTAGGACGGGTTTACATTTTATTTGGAATCCGTCCAACTGACTGCAATATCAATACCGCCACGTCGCAAGTGACGATGAGACATCTAAAGCTCTCCAAAATTGCTGATGACCCTTCACGATGGTTCTGCAAATCCAAGAGACAATGATGATGTCTCCTTGACCACGGGAGATGCTCACAGTGGCACCATGATCATGGGAGTTGTTAATGATGGCTGTGTAGTCGGAGGATGTTCACTAAAGGTGCTGTGATTGCGGGAGATGTTAAAAATGTCTCCAACACTGCAGAAGAGGTTCACAGTTTCGCTGTGTTGCAGGAGCCATTAGTGATTCAACCGCGATCGTAGGACATGTGTACAATGGCAAAGAGATCACGGGACATTAAAAGATGGCGCAGCGAATGCAGAATACTATGATGATGTCCTCCATGATTGTGGGAGATATTTATGATGTCGTCGCTATAGCATATGACGTCCCCAGGACCATGGATTATAATTATTTGTACCCCAGGATCATGGATTATAATTATTTGTAGCTATTTACTTTGGGAGAAGATTATTTTGTCTTTGAAATTACAGGATATGTTGTGGCCTTCCATGAAAACACAATAGTAATAACTGTACAACAATGACTAAAACAGATTGTGTTTGTTATTATTGTAATTTGCAAGGATTAAAAGTCAAGATTTTAAAAACAAATTAAAGTTATACAAGGATCAATTTGGTCCCGTTCCAGTTCTGGAAAAATCAGGAAGGAAATACGAATCATGTCCAAAACTAAAAGTACAGTCCCCTAATTTGACCTACTTGTGTCTGTGTGGAGAGTGTGTGTCTGGCAGGAGCTGTCCCCACAGTGAGCCAGGGTTGGGGAACCTCGCAGCCAGTGTGTCCAGGTTGGCTGCCAGGTGTACCACCATGTTGGAAGGGTGAGTCACCATCTTGCGCACCTGGTCTATCTCGGCCACTACCCGGTCACACTCCTCGGGGGAGTTGAGTCTGTCCAGCAACTGTGATAGGAACTTGTGCTGTCGGAGCACACTGGCCGTGTGGTGGTTACTTTCTGAAACAACAACCAGTCTGAGTAAAAGCAATTACTTATGTTTTAGGTCTTCTTAGATGTTTGATTGGAACATGGAATGCTGCTAGCATTAAAACAAAGAATTTAATACTGAACAGAAAATGTAGGAAATTTCACTGTCACCAACAGCATTGAAACTATAAGAGGTTTAATCTTATTCTTAATACGTAGGCTTCTGAAGCTATTATCATTAGAACCCTGCCTTAGTGGTTTTAACATCAACTGAAGATTGCTGCCTAATGTTTTGATTCCTATATTCCTTCCCTGTGACAAACTCAACCCCTACTTTAAACAGATCTAAACTGACAACCCTTACTCCCAGCTGAGCCACTGAAAAATGCCTGAGCAAAATGTACTCTCTGGATTTTATATTCAAATTAGTAGCTTTCCCACGATTAGCAAAACAGTATGAACCTAGTGTTTGAAAGTCTATCAAAGCCACAAGAAAACAACTAGAGTACCTTTCAAACGCTTTGTATTTTCTTGGAAACCAAAGAAATGGGAAACTATTTCTAAAACATTTTACCGCAATCAGAGGAAAGCTTTGCATAAAAACGATAATGCATAATAGTGATAATGCACGAAGACAAAGTGCAAACAAACATACATTTGATTATAGATGAAATACCTTTGGTGTAGAGAAGACCTTTCATGAGTTCCCTGACGATGGTGTTGCCTTTTCTCTTGACTTGTGCCACATCGTTGACCATCTTGGCAGCAATGATCTTGAGTCTCTCAGCGTTGAGGTGAGTGTTGTATAGAAGCTCCTTCACCCACTCTATCCCTCTCTCATACTTGCTTGGCTCCAGCTTCATACAGAGCAGATGGTTACAAAACTACTTCTCAGTAAGAGACAGTCACAAAAAACCAAATACCATCTCCGCAGCAAACCTGCAGACTAAGTGAATTTCCTTCTACCTACTGGGGTGTGGGTAGTTGGTCAGGATAAGCCAACGGAATGTAATAGAGCAAACGACAAAACCAACATCTCATACAGTGATAAATATAATGTTCAGAGAACCATTTTCAATATTATAGATTACAATACTATTGACAACGTAACTAATCTGTACTAGTGTGAGCCACTCCGTATTACCTGCAGCATGAGAGAGCCAGTCTGACAGTAGGGTCCACACTGGAAGCGTGACGTGGTCTCCAGTCCCAGTCTGGTGACAGCAGCTACAGTGTCTGCCTCTAGCTGAGCCACAACCTCCTCCCAGGGTACCAGGTGATCTCCCCGCTGGACCGGACACTCCAGCAATGCCTCAAACAGCAGCGGCAGGTACGGCCTCAGCGCCGACTGCACCTCCACTGTGTCCATCAGCACGAATATCTGCAGCATTTGTCAAGTACACACCATGAAACTTACCACTCGCTGGCGTGAAGAAACCATGTGTTGCATGCTGTGAAATTTTCCTATTCACCATCTCAAAATTGTTCAATAAGCTGCAGGATCTTTGGTCTTCAGACCTTTCAGTAATGTACTCTGATGCCCCATATGTACTATGCCTTTCTATCCTTGATTTTAACCTCACTTTCTTTTTAAACAGGTTAAAGGAGTTTTGTAGTCTAATTAACCTCTTTTAAGTTGCTTTTGATACAATTACAAATTCCGCTAGAACCGATTCATCTAGGCCTACTTGTAATGTGTAGCCAAGTGTACTTAAAAAGCAACTGTGAGTAGGCTACACCTGGCTAGTTTACAATTTGGTTTGCTCAAAAGCCGGTGAATGGCATGGAATGTTGCCAAGAAGCCAGATTTTTCCAGTACTTTTTAATAAAGAGTGCATCAAAGTACACTGGGCTAGGTTATGTGATGAAGGTAAAAAGTTAGCTTGCAGCTTGTAAACAAGATACGTGTACTGGATACTTAAGGTTGAGAGTGATTTGGGATTGTTTATTCATACGAGAGTTATCCAATGAAGGTCTTTTATGAGCTCCAGTCCGGACCAAGCCAGTTTGTGCAATCTGACAACAGTGCTGTGTTCTTTACTTCCCTCACTACTAATCTAACAGTAAGTGATTCGTTTGTCAGATAAGGTAAGAAAAAGTTCCATAGAATAAACACCGCATGCATGCACAGAAAAATTCCTGCAGGCTACCAGACAGTTGTACACATAAATCTTGGGCAGCGTCTCAATTTCTACAGTTATGAGGGTGAGTAAATCGTGATGCCATAAAAGTATCACCTGTTTAAATAAAAGTAGAACTTGATTTAAATTTGTCAAGAAAAATTTCAAATACAAGTTTGCAATGCAAAAGACTTAACACTATATTTTTACAGACAAATGAACAAATTTATTTTAGTTTCATTGAGTAATGTATCACTCACATAAACAAAGTTGGTGGTGATGTGATCCACTTGTATGTATACGGGGACTTGACTAGTATCAAACATGGGATGAGGCTGTTTGGAGTCTGTGGTGAACGTCTGTATCCTGTGGAACTGTATTGACTCAATACTGGGAATGTTGACTGACTTGAGCATACCAGCTGGTGGAGGGATCTAAAGGGAAACACCCAAACAATCATAAAAAATTATCATAAAACACAAACATTTAACTAGAAGCTGACGATTCGGCTAGATAACAGATAACTATCATTAGAGCAGTTAACCGGAAAAAGTGTCGGGCAGTCAAACATTGAAGACCAATTTGTAGGCTTGGTTCTCAAATATTTCTTTATGAGTTATAGTTCATCATTTCTTCACTTTTTATGGATATAGTTTGGTAACTAAGGTATATAAAAAAAAAATAGAACCGAAACGATCCTTCACTAAAACAAACACACAAACTTTCAGCCTTATAACACAGTATACTCTTGATAATTCGAAATTGGTGGACCAGGCAAATAAATTTGAATTATAAGAGTTTTAAATTACCGTATCAGAAAGTTTGATTTATCGGGAGGAAAATAAACCATTTGAATTCAAAAGAGTTCATTTTTTTACTGTATTATGTAAGGTACATAAACTAAAATGGAATGGGAATGTTAAGCTCCTTTCCATAGCTTTGGGTTTTTAAATCAAACCTCCTACAGGCATGTTTCAACGTGGTTGTCTAAACCACATAACTAAACACTCTTTTAGTCTAAAATATTCACTTATTGTGGTTCTTTTTCTTCCGGCATTCAGTCAAAACAATTTTGCCTTTTTTTATCGTAGACAACGTATTTGGAGGGATTTGAAAAGTATTTTAACTTCTGATTTTAGCCTACCACTTTCTACTGCTGCAATCCCTTTCCCGCAAACAAAAGGGACTTGTATTTAAGCTTAGTTTCCATGACATTAAAACAATTTTAACTTCGGCCACCGTTCCACACAACAAACAGGTTAAACAAAAAGATCACAGATAACTAAAAAAAACTTGTTTTAACAGGATGAATAGTTTCCTGTTATGACAGGCAAAAAACTGCAAATCAGCCTACCCTCTGCTTGGACTTCAAAATATTGAGTGTATCAAGAAGCATCGTAAAACTTCAAAATATTAATAGTTCCTCTACGGACTGAGCTTTTATTTTGAATTATCGAAAGTTTCGATTGATCAAGTGCTTGAATTAACGAGAGTAGACTGTATTAGTATGATAGTTGATGTGCGGATTCTATATTGTATATTAAGTTGCCCTTTTAGTTTAGCTTCACAAGTTTGTTTATGGGAAAGAGGTATTTATTTATACAACACTCGATTATTGGCTCATATGAACTAATCTTTTTTCCTCATTTAAGCGAGTATTAATAGGATCAATCATGTACATCTATTATGTTCCTTACCTCATTCTGTTCCATGGCCTGAGTCAACATCAATTCCTTTTCCCTGTAAATCAGAAAAAGTGGATTTAGTAATAAAATAAGAAACAGGCTAAATAAATCATTTTTGAAGTCAAACGAATATCTTATCATTAATTTTTAAGAACTACCTATCAATGAAAAGTGTAATAATCAAACCCAGCCAAATTATAAATTACCTTAGTTTTCATTGAAAACTACGGTAATTTATAATTTGACTGGGTTTGATTATTACAGAATATCAGACTTGGTAGTAACGATTACAATAACGTAACGATTACTGTAATCGGTACATTTTTTAGTAAGGTCTGTGACTCACCCGTTACATCTTAAAACAAGTAACTTGTAATTGGTAATCGTTACAAAACATTAGTAACGTTTACTGGTAATAGTAACGGGAAAAAATTACTTTTGTTACATTGTATTGATAAAAATAATTTGCAAATTAAAACTTTAAATTCAGTACATCATTCAGAGACAAGGGTGGTTGTTGGTAAAGAAGAGAAAGCGGGCTCGGCCAGTTTGTTGACCCTAGCTCCGCTACCTGACCATTCCCAGTAGCGAACACAATAAAATTTGTTTTGACTCAAACCATCCCTATGTTAGACTTCTGTCAGTCACATCAGTCCAAAGTCCATCAACGCATCAATGGTAGTGAACAACATTCCTGACACTGTGGTTGGTGCATGTGCTTCCAGTCTGTTTTGGTGTTTGTTGTGGTACAAAACAAAGTGTAGTTTAAAGTTTAGTTTATAGGTCTAATTTATATGTTTATCCGTTCAGTTGTCACAAAGTTTTATTAAATATCCTGTAGTTTGAAAATATCCAATTATGGGTGATTTTTTATGACCATGAAAAAATCCTTGGATTATGAGTGAGCTTAAAAATAGAGTCATGACTTATGCTGCTTTTTTACAACCGAGGTGCGCAGCAATAAAGCATGGCGCACAGCTAGTTTTTATAACGTTATGACACAATTCTATGACAAAATTCAATAAACATGGAGAAAATTCTTTCATCAACAATAAGAAATGTATACAAATACAAATTACGTTCCAGACATTCCTAGAATAAAGGAATAATGTGTGAGAGCGAATCTGCTCTCACACATTATTTTTACTATGATCTATCAATTAAAAGGGCCATTAATAGTGCCACTAGCACTAACACTACAAACTAGGGTTCTGGATACAACCACACAGACAGAAACTTATAACCAAGAACTAACTTGTCAGCCATCATCAGTAGACCTACAGTTTTCCGTAACAGCTGTCAAACGCTACAGGTTGGCAGAATGTCTGTTAGGTCAAGACAGGTTGTCTGTCTTGTTCATAATTTTTTAACAGTAAACTATTGTTTTATATTTCTTACTTGAGCCCGTCCACCCCCAGCAGGTCCCGTTGACTTTGCACTCTCAGTTTCTCCTCCCTCGCCATCTCCTGTTGCTCGTCCACACTAGGCACTCCCCTCACAGTCACACTGGCCCCTGTCAGTAAGTACTGCTTGATCAGGGACGTCCAGAATGTCATGTCTTCCTCCTGCATCTTGTACAGATCTGCCACTTGGTTCAGTCTCTGGTCCAGCTAGATTGGAACATCTTTGTTATTGTGATTGTTTATAAAATATTGTTTTATGTTAAACTAGTCTACCTGTTGCTCAAATTCCAGCAATTGCCAAGTATTACAGGCAATATTTTAAAACGTGAATAACAGTAATAATTTCTGATGACTAGACTTTCCTATTTTTCCATATTTTGCAAATCGGCTCTTTCAATGATTGTTCAAGAAATGCAGCACAGAGTTAATTCAGTTTTCTTTTTAGTATATCAAATTGTCCAGGCTTTCTAGCTTTTTTCCACTGTAATATTTACGCCAACCCAAATAGCCTAGTAAATATTCCATTTCAACCAAGTCAGTAAATGTTTGTAGCACACGTTTCTTTAAATTGCAACTAAAATATTAACAGCAATTAAATTATCCAGCTGATCATAATGTAAACAAATATGTTCTCCATAAGGATAACAGGGGAACTTTAAAAGCCACTGGGGCAGAGCCCGAGGGACTTTTTCTAAAAAGTAAGGTCAGTTTGCAAATATAAACGCCTAGACGAACATTTTGGTATATAATACGTGGGGTTTAAATCTAAAAAAAAATGCCTTATTGTTCACAAAGTCTCATGTAGCGTATTAATAATATAGCATTGAAAAAAAAAACCAACAATCCTTCCACCTTGACTGCACCCTTCCTGGACAAGCAGGTTACTTGGCCTAGAATGGGAAAAAAATTTAAAATAAATACCCCCGCCGCAGAAAACCTGCAGACTAAGTGAATTTCTATTTACCAGGCTGGATTTCTACTAAAATATTCCCTTATTGTCAGATTTATTTCTATTTATTTGCCAAATTTGATTAAATCAAATATATCCATAAACAAGCAAGCTGCAACAGTTTATTTATCTTATCTTACTAATATTATAAATGTGAAAATTTGTGTGTTTGTTTGAATTTCAATCACGCATTAACTACTGGACGGATTCGGCTGAAATTTGGAATGATGATAGCTCACATTCCCGATTAACATATAGGCATATTCTTATCTCAAAAATCCTTTCGGGCTCCGCCCCAGTGGCTCTGTAGTTCCCCATGTTAACCTTATGAGTATTAATATTTAAAGGGAATTAAAAATTTAGTCAACTGTTTCAACTAAAAAAGTTGGTTCTATGATATGCAAAATGATATGGTAGAACATTATGGCTCTAGTAGATGTCTAATACTAAAGTATACTGTAAATTTAAAGAATGAAATTTTATCAAACTGTGTCAATCCCCATTGCAAACGCAAAGCTTGAGTATAAATGCAATAAGCATTTTATACTTATAATGCCAATCCCGTACGAAGGATGGGTAGGCTACTCTGCTAGTTCTCCATAAGAATAACATGAGAATTTTAAATTTACAATTTTTTGAATTATCTCCGTTACCGTTAGGCATACAACAACGCTTCAACTTACAAAATTGTTGTTCAAAGGTTTATTGCACACATTTTCCATCACGATGGTAAAAAAACAAGATAACAATATTCATTGTACAAAATTATTATTTATTTTTTTAAGCAATTCAACATGTAGGCTATCGGAAAGAAATTGTGAAATTTTGTGTTTCTAGCGTCAAAAATGGGAAAACCAAATTTTACCCCATAAAACCCCATTCCCATAGTACGATCATGCTGGTTCACGAACTTGTTTGAATTAACGTAGGTTAACAGGTTTGTACCAAATTTCATAAAAATCGGAATGTATATGAGATTGAACGGTTTTTGGCCTCTGAGGACCTCAAAACAAAAAAGCAAACCGGTCCTGGGTTAGTAATAGCTTATTCCCTATTTGGGAAATTTTCTAAAAGTGGATTGGAAATAATTAATTGTATTTCTTTAAACTAAAAATGAAACTGATAGGATATATTTCTTTTCAGTCTGTTAATATTTAGAAAAGTGGTTAATATAAAGTGTAATCCCTCTTTAAATGTATAGCAACAGATCATAAATAAAAATTGGTTATGTTATTGTTTTGTATAAGATTTGAGATTGAAATGAACATTATATGGCAAATTTTAAAAGGGATTTATGTTTTTAAAACATGTTTATGTTATGTGAAGCGAAAAAAAGGTATTTTCACTTTTCAATGAGAAGCGTGATATGCCATGGTCATAGCGCTTCTGCAGAACGCGGGAAAAACATCACAGAATATTTAACCTAATCCAAAACATCTAAATCAAGATGAAGTAATAAAAACTTTCATAAATTTCGGTGGCATTTTGGTATATTTTGATGTTAATTTTAGTCTCGAGCATGCTAGATGTAATGTTTACTTTAAAGTAGTTACATGTTAGCTTTAAACAACACAATACCATAAAACATATTTATGGCCTACCTTTAAATCTTATCATAGTGTAGGAAGAACTTTTATGATCTTCTTTACAGTTCTACAACTTGTTATCATGGCATAAAATCGTAAAGGTATTTGTTTTCACTGGGATTTTAAGCTTTGTGAGATAATAAATTTTATGAGCCATACTTCAAAAACTCGATTGAATGAAATAAAGACATTGCTTTGCAAAGCTCAGGTTAGATTTTCATTAAAACACTTTGCTGATCATCAAAGTAGATTTCATAGCAACTAACATAGAGATCAATACAAATATAAGATAAGACATATTGTCTTATAGTTTTTGCTCACATATAAAACGTTTCATGGTGCAAATTTCAAGAACCAGGACCTATTTACAGTTCAAACAAAGAGACTAGGCAAATGACCAGACTAGAGTAGTCTGAGAAGGGGTTTTGATTTGAAAACTTTCCGGCCAACGCTGCAAGGGAAGTAGGTTATTTTACTGTCTCGTTAGCAAGTCATCATACATAACAGAACAGCTGGTAGTGACAGAGCTGTGCATCTAGATATCTAGGTTGTTTTTTACAACTATATGTGTAGAATATGCCAACCCAATCCTGCAAAAATTCAAGTAATTCATAACTAATTACTTCAATAGCCTAGTAACATTGACTAAAGATAGTATACATTCCATTCTCATGTTTAGGTGTCACCAGTCTGAGAATTAAATGGAAACATGGTTGAATTGAACCACTGACAAAAATGCTAAACTAAATTACAGATTTATGTCAAATACACCAACTTTTGAACCCAGCCATACAGAAAGGACAACTTTATTGTAAACTAATGTAATGTTCTTCATCAAATTAACAAAGTAAAAAAATATAATTATTAAATATAAAAAATATAATAGTAAAAAATATAAATAAATCTAATACTATCTCAATAGACTATGTTTTTATATAGAAAAAAATGGCTACTGCTGGTCAAAGATGTTAGTACATATTGAGCTACTCAGCTACTAACGTCTTGCTTGGTGTTGCCGTACAACATGTCCCCGATGGCCATGAAGGCAATGCTGTCGTGAGGACTGTTCTCCAGATGACTCAAACACTCCAGTCTGTGACGGTTGACGACAGTTGACAACCGCTTCATGACTATTGGCTCCTGTCCACTCACTATCTTCTCCAGCACCTATAATGAACACAAGGTGTCAACCACGTATAGATTAACCTTTTTAGAGGATGCATAGTTTGAAATGGTCAACATTAATTTTCTTTACAAATAATAATGAGTTTATTGTTTATTCATAACATGAAAATGTATTCTTCTAAATTAGAATGAGTTACGTGGTGTAACTATGATTTTGTTTAACGATTAGGAAGTACAAAATAACTTGGGTGACAGTTTAAATGCACTGCAACAAATTGACAAAGAAAATGTTGTTGTTTGATTTTATTACATTAGAGCCTAGGCCTACATATATATTGTACATTTTATATTGATACATCTACTTAAAATTAAATAATTAATACTTCATTTAAATCACTGTTTTAAGACTGGGACTAATATGAATGAAGTATAGGAGTTTTAGAACTTACCTGCATAAGCCGATCCTTCACCGCACCAATCTTAGCAACTGGCACATTTTCAAATTGTAGCATCAAAACGGATTCAGAGTTTTCTACCAGCGAGTATGAAACCTGCAGAAAGCAAACAAAATTGAAATTTGTTACGTTTAAAGTAAAGTGGTAGTTTTAGCGAATTTCCCATATAGGGAAAACATTATTACTGTAGGTCTCATAGAAAGACCTAGACCCGGGATCGATTAACTTTTTTGTTTTGATGTCCCCAGAGGCCATGAAACCAAAACACCAAAATCCGCTCAGAATCATATATATTATGTGTCCGTTTTAAATTCCAATTTGAATTAAACTGGAACGAGTAAACCTACATGTCTGTGCATGTATCGTAACATGTCTAGATAAGGTAGGGAATCAAAACACAATCGGTTTAGTTAAACCTGACACTTATCTAAAAGCAGTTACTGTAATGTAGGGGAGCAAAGGACACCCCATTCATTGTGAATCGAACAATACCAGATGAGTCATCACTCAGGACACTGGACCAGATAGAGGCGAGGTGACAGGTGATGCACGCACTCCGGCCAAAGACCTGACCTTGGCCTACTTGGAGGGAATTTGGCATGCAAAAATATGACTCATCTGGTATCATTCGATTCATAACAAAACGAGGAAAGTCCTACAAACATATTTATGTTTGTTGTAGTTATGACTGGGACGGGTGGCGTCGTCCTGTAATCCAGCTACTAGGAGGTCACGAATTGTGGATATTTATAGGCATGCACTGTGGATGCAATACTTACTGGTGTGGATTAACGTCCGCACGAGTGAGTACTACGACTATCCGCGGTACTATCCTGATAATTAGACCAATTCGTATATACCAAGGAAAAATATGGTTCGGATTCCACTATAAACTGTAGGTCCCTTAGTTGCCATTAGCTGTATCGGCTATTAATTAACAGCTGTGTCTAAGGAATGTCGGCCTTAGTCACTAACAAGACTACAAGATCGCGCCAATCCTACACTCATCTTCATTCATACTTGGCTTAAAATACCTACTATGTATGGTCGCCATTTCATTGAACAGTATTAACAGTAAGATAACCTAACCAAACATAGCTGCCACAGCGTGCTGTATGAGGGTGGCCACCGTATAATACGAAAGTACCCTAAAACAATTTACCTTGCTGCAATATGGATCGGAGATCTCCACAAACTCTTTGGGCAGCGGGCTGACTGAAGTGTCTGTCATGTACTTCATCAACACTGAACATGCAGCCAATCTAGGAGAAAAGTAGAATTGATCAACAAGTACAACTACTAATACAAACTCATGTCTTCAAAATAATTACCAGGCCAGTAATCCAGAAACATTTGTTATTACTTGATAGAAATATGGAATCAAATAAGAAAAGAAAGGGAACTTTAGTATTAAACACATTTTACAGTATAATCTTTGGGAAAATGTATGGGCTAGTCCTAGAAATAAGGAGATTGGAAGGGAAAACACAACATAGTTGGACAATGGCATCCTGAGAGAAATTTATACTAATCAAGATGTAGGCCTAGTTTTTAAAGTGAAGCCTCACTTGTATAGATCAGTGACAGCAGAAGGTCCCCGCCAGCCAACATAGACCATCCCATTGTCCTCTTCATCACAGGGAAACTTGACTTCAATGTCGGCAGACTCTTTCAACGGAGGCACAGGGTCCTGCCACGGCCGCTTGAATTGCTCTCTTGTACCCTGACAAACATAACCTTTTTTTAAAAACTACAATACACTACAAAACTTCACAGTAGGTGCTACGGTAAAATTTAGGAATGAAAAAACTTTATTGCAGCCATTGCATTTTTAGTTAGATAAGATCAAATTTGAAATGAAATAGTTAAAAAAAAATTATCAGCAATCGATGAAATTTACGATTTAACCATTAACTATTTAGCTATATTTAAGTAATATTGCAAAAAGGTGTCTATACTAGTAGCAAAACCCGGAATTAGCAATAGAATTAATTTTTCCTGTTTTCATAGATTAACACATATCTTGATACCTACTAGAAATATGTTAAATATTCTTTGTAACACACATTTCCTCAAATTGCAACTAAAATATTAACAGCAATTAAACTATCCAGCTTCGTATCATAATGTAAACAAATATGTTGTACATAAGGATAACATGGGAAGTTTAAAAGCCACTGGGGCAGAGCCCAAGGGGCTTTTTCCAAAATGTAAGGTCAGTTTGCAAATCTACACACCTCGACAAAAATTTTGGTGTATAATAAGTGGGGTTAAATCTTAAAACAAAAAAGCCTTATTGTAAGTTTCATGTAGCGTACTAATAAAATAGATTTACTGTTATGTCTAAATTTATTAAAAGCCATTAAAAATTTCAATGCTCTGGATAACTCGACAACCTCTGGGTCGAAAATTGGTTTTACTTAACAACAATTAATTACCAACCTTGGAAGCGATTTTCTGCTCAAAAGGCTCTAGAGTTTTGAACAGGTCTTCCGGCTTCACTTGTCCAGTGATAATCAACGTAAGGTTTTCTGGTCGGTAGAACTCTTTGTGGTACGCTCGCACCTGTGGTACGACCAAATATTTAACATTCTAAACCACAGAATTGAACATACTGAAAGTAGGCTAGCTGATAGAAGACTAATCATCTGTCAAGCTATTTTTGGTTGAATCTTAAAGTTTTTTAAAATATAAATAAATACTTTTGTTGTGGCAGTAACGTATCAAAACTATGCAAGTCATTTCACTCAACCAAAACTCTGTTTTATTATAATTTGTGTAATATAAAACTATAAAAAAATATAATGTGTTGCTAAATAGAATATTAAACTATAACTTTTAGTCCTCGTATAGAACTAGCCACAAAATTAAATAGGTCAGATTAAGTTGTTGAATCCTGATTAGATACACAGACCACAGGTCCACATTGGTTGTGGTTTTCACATCCTTTCTTTATTTTATCCCAATATTTCGGATTCTCTTAATCACAACCACAAATAATATACACAGTTAAACCCACATTACAACTTACGTCATTATAACCACAATAGAAAATTTGATCTATTCTCTAACTGTACCCTCTTTTATGCAAGTATCAACAGCTGGCAATTCTCTAAAAAATTTATAACAATCAAAGTTGTTATGTTATTAATTTCCACTAGCTTAACACCTTACAAGGACCTTGCAGTGATGATAAGGACCAAGCAAGGCCGCACTAGAAAAAACAGGCCATGCTGCAGCACGGGCAGCGCAACACTTCGTCACAGTGGTGGATAGTTGTACTAAACTCTTAATACTCTTAACATTAAAATCTTACAAACAGCCAGCTTGTTTATTTACCTAAAACATATGGGAATGGTGATGGCAAAGAATTTATCAATGACATCCATCCACTAGCATGACGTCATGGATCCTGCAGCATGGCCTGTTTTTCTAATGGGTCCTTCCAAGGCCCCACTAGAAAAACAGGCCATGCTGCAGGATCCATGACGTCACGTTAGTGGATAGATTCATTGATAAATTCACTGCCATATCCCATATGTTTTAGGTAAATAAGCTGGCTGTTTGTCAGATTTTAATGTTAGATAAGATTTTAGTACAACTATCCACCACAGTGACGTAGTGTTGCGCTGCCCGTGCTGCAGCATGGCCTGTTTTTCTAGTGGGGCCTGGTAAGGACACACCTGGTGTCCAGCAAGGCTGAACAAAATTAAAGGCCATTTTTTTTTTATTGTTCTGTTTGGCCAATGGCCAAATTCAAGAATTCTAGAAATTTAAATGCAAATTTTGAAGTAGGTAGGCTACAATTTATATGAATTCAATGTATAATTTTTACAGTAAAATGTTATCATATATAATTTTTTTGTCCAGTGATTGTTGCAGTATCCAAACAATTTCCTCAGTCATAGTGACAATCTGATTGGTTGGTTTACACCAACTCTTCCCAGCATCTCCCCAAACACACTGACATTATAATCGTCCCCTGCAACACCTCCGAGAATCTCCTGCGGTCACTATTTTCATGACTCTTGAACTATTCTATATTTCCTGGTCCCATACAAAATTCACATTCCATTCACAGACTTTACATGGTCAGTTGGCGATACCCTGAACTCACATTACCTTGTCATTGTTGACAGTCTCGCGCAGGTTCCTCATGATGCCGCCGGTCTCACTCTTGTAGCCGCAGTGTCCCGGGTAGATGGTCCTCAGCAGCTGCAGGTACACTCTAGACTCTCCTGTGTTCTCCCTCCCTTGCATCTCACAATACACCACCCCAGCATCCTCTCCCTCGCCCGTCACATGGTGTACCTCCGTCACAAACGCTGAGTCCTACAGAGAAAACATTACAAATGAAATATGTAATTGAATGGTCATAGTTCCAATATTTGAGATAATTTAATTGTAAAATAAAAACAGTAAAATTTGATTTAGCATCTCAAGCAGCGACGCTTATGCCTCGGCCGAGGAAATCGTGATTTGAGCCGGACCAGATTATTCGGAGTTCGACCGTCGACTCGTTCACGAGAAGCCCCTTCTGACACGAATTACGATCACGCCATACATGGTGTCTACTAAACCTGTTTTAAAAAATTCAAGGAGTTTTCCAGGAGAATTCAAGACAAATTCCAGAATTTTAAGAGCTACTATTGCAACCCACTCAACTAATCGCAACCCGCTAATAATAATTTATTATTATTTGAAACAAAACTTTTCCAAAGAATAATATTTTATACAACATAATAAAACAGTATAATTGGTAGGTAAGGCGACACCAGTTATCATCTCCGGCGATCATGGGAATACCGGTGAGCATATCTTGCAGTCTCGTCAACACCGGGAACTGATCGTGGCAAAACAGGTTCACACATTTTATGATTTCAGCAACACCGATAATCGTCTCCCGCGATCGCGGCAATACCCGTGAGCCTATCTTGCGGTTTCGGCAACACCGATAATCGTCTCCCGCGATCGCGGCAATACCCGTGCCGTGAGCCTATCTTGCGGTTTCGTGGACACCGATAATCGTCTCCCGCGATCACGGCAATACCCGTGAGCCTATCTTGCGGTTTCGGCAACACCGATAATTGTCTCGTCTCCCGCGATCGCGGCAATGCCCGTGAGCATATCTTGCGGTTTCGGCGACACCGATAATCATCTCTCGTGATTGCGGCAATACCCGTGAGCATATCTTGCGGTTTCAGCGACACCGATAATCGTCTCTCGCGATCGCGGCAATACCCGTGAACATATCTTGCGGTTTCGGCGACACCGATAAACGTCTCCCGCGATCGCGGCAACAAAAGCGGTAGTATTTCGATTAGCCGACAATTCCGATGACCGGGCTCCGGATTCCCGGAGGTTTGGGTGGATTCCTGGATTTTTCCAGGACATTTCAAGGTAAGATAACATTCCCGGAGTTTTCCTGGTTTTCTGGAATTTCCCGGAGAGTAGACACCATGCCATACCACTACGTTATCCATTCAGGTTAGCTAAGTTCGTTGTTAGACTTTCTAACGTTCATTTTATTTTTGTTTTGTCTAAATTTCAATAACTTAGCTTTCGCCGATTGAGTCTTGACCCGCCAGTTCCTGCCGGTCAGTGACTAGCGGTGGATATCTTTCGGTTTGATTCAAATTAATTGGCTTCGAAATTACGATTTCTCCGTTCGCTTAACGAATAATTACCACGCCTTAATTATTTCTCGTTTTTCACCGTTTTACCCCGAGACTTATCGACCAAGTTCTAAACCCAGTCTTTGGCGGGTGAAAGAATCAAGACTTGGGAGTGTTAAGATTTGATCACGTAGTTACGAATATTAGTATCAAATCTATTTTAAATCATCCCGCGATAAATTCTCCATTTCAATTATATTAATTAGGCCCCGACGACTCTGTAGGAATTGCTTTTTACATTATATTTGATTTTATTATCTACCAACGTCTTTAGCCAGATAGTTTACAGTTTATTACGAGTATTTAAATCACACTTTGATTCTGGGTGATTACATCATTATCCTTAAACCTTTTAGTAAACTAACTGCAGATTCTTGTTTTCAAGAATCTATTGCATTTCCCCCGTTTGTTATATTTTCTTTAAAAATTATTTGGATGTGTTAAAATTTATGATAAAAAGCGCGTATTTTAACATTTTTACCAACTTTTTAGCCCAACATTAAAAAAAAATATTCAAATTTTAAAAAAGCGCCGGACTTATAATAATATTTATCGAAAAATATGACACCAAGATCTTTCAAATCGGTTCAAAATTGGGGCTACAAACAGTAAGAACCAAAACCCTTGCATTTGCACGTTAGACAGGGAAGAGCGCAGCCTTAATCTTCCTTGTTGTATAAGGAAAACATTCAACACTTGCTGGGTAAAATTGCCGTAAAAAATAATCTCAGTGAATAAATTCTGAGCATAATTAAGCCTACTTTTAGGTAATTAAGTTTACAGCAATATAATTTTTAAGTTTATAAATAATGTCTTAAATGTTTAAAAACATTAGGTACAACAATATTATAGAAGGAATAAAAAACCAAGGCTTATTAAAGAAAAAAAAAGGATATTTTCAAATGTTGCTACAATGCTAGAGATTAATCATAGGGTCAAAGTAACATATAAAGAGGTCAAAAATGTCATTATAGAGTGACACAGGGTCATTGAGCTGAATAAAGAGGTCAAAGGGCTCAATGTGTGATTTGCTACATACTAAAACAGACTTTGCACTATCAGGAGCAACACAGAAGTTACGCTGGGAGCAAATAGAAGGTAATTAATGTAACTTTGGTACAGTAAGTACTGCCTGCAAGCTATAATCATTAAATAAAACTAGGTGGCTTACGCAGAGTCATCAGGGCATTATAATACTGGTTTGAAGCTAATGGACTAAAACTTAATCAAGATAAAACTCAACAATTAAATTTTTGTACTGCACAGTCAGGGGGATCAGTTGATACCCCTAAGTAACCGTGCAAAATTCTTTCGTTTGGAACTGGATATTAATTTTTCTTGGAACTGTAATGATAATATTATTAGTAAAATAAATTCAGCCTGTTATATTTGATAACAGCGCATGATCGCGCAATATGCAAGTTTAGGTAGGTACCTTAGAAAGCTCATAAAGCTGGATACAAGACACTCACCGTAAGAGTGGGGTACAGAATATGGTCCAAGTAGATGGGGATGAGTGAAAGGAACCCCTCACTGCCAGCTGTTGTCATCGTGTAGCAAGTGTGGTCTGTATCTATAACATACACAGACACACATTGAGTGACTCTAAGCTTACCAATAGATTTACCAATCAATGTTGGTCCTCTTCTTTTATGGGGGGTTTAGTCGGTTTTATTATACCAAGCCATAAGCAGATTAACTATTGTATTTATTTGAAGTTATACCAGTTGACCACAAGATAAAATTAATGACACTTAGAATAGGTATCTCTTGTCAACTAAATACAAATTTAATCAGAAAGTGTCCCGCTTTCACAAGAATGTTGTCCTAGATCCTTAGTTTCAGTAGAATTCAGGAGAGTGTACGTTTTGAGTTAGCTTAATGTTTGTTTACGTTGTGAGTGCTGGAAAAGGAACCTTGAGTCGGCCATGTTATTTTGCCATAACTGACATGTGGTAGGTCTAGCCATGTAGTTACTAACCTATATAAACCTATTGATAACTTTTAATCACAGAATAGAACAGGCCTGTTCTATCTGAAACAAGGTAGGCTACAGTAGAACCTCTCTAATCTGGCACTGAGCTAGTCCAGCCCTCCTTTAATCCGGCGATATCAAGTTGGCGCCCGCAAAGCAGTGTGGAGGGATTGAGACATGTTACAGTACTAGATCGGTTAGTACTCAGTAGTAGTTGGGTACCGTGAATGTTTTTAAAATTAGTGCTGGTAGTCGAATGTCCTCTGCCCTGAACGTTTTCGGTGACCAGTTTGGTTTTATTTAGTATGCTGTGCTACATATTCTAACTTCACATTGTAAAATAAGTAATTGAAAATGTCACAGTGTACAACAAAGACATAGGCTCACTTCAAGTAAAACATTGACACTTGTAAATAAAAGAAAACAAGATTTTAAAAATACTTGAAAAGTGATATTAAAAATGTCTAACCTTACTAATGAATAACTTGGACATGCCACAATACACGACATAAGAAAGAACATTGCAAAGATTAAATTGTTTTGCAAAAATATTGACAGTTCAAAAAGAAACAGAATAACTTAGAGAACGGGTGAGTTTCTACAAGATGAGGACAATCTATAGCCTATGCTTGGTTTGATTTAATTTACAACAAAATAGGTTTTTAACCTGACGTGAGTTAACCATAAACCTTACAAAACACGACTCGTATAGTCGCTGCCACTACAGAAACCAACTAGCCTGACTATAATAGTCACGCTACCAGTAGGGTGGTCAAGTTATAGCCTGATTGAAATAACAGGTATAAATGGAACTAAGTTATAGTCTACTAGTTATTTACCTGTCCATGCATTAGTCCCAGAAGCCAGACATCTATTGGCCAAGAGATCCAGAACGCCTTTGTATGGGTACTGTTCACTCCCCAGAAAAACCAAATGTTCCAGAGTATGGGGCAAACCGTCATCATCATGGGCCTCAGTAGCTGAAAAAAAAAAAAAACTTAAATCAGGCCAACGTCAGTGTAAGTTATGCGGAAGCCATGTCAGTAACATTTTTTCTTCATCTCATTTTCAGGAAGGCTCTCCATTCCCTTTTTATAGGTTCACTCAAAACAAATAGGCCTATAGGTACCGGTATATCATGATTTCATGATTATGTTTAACTTACAACAGTAGGCTACCGGTACTTTAATTTTAATTTTATAATGGCAGTGACACACTATCGATCTTTTCCCCAATCAAGACCGGTGGGGCACACGGGAGGGACTAAGGCTAACATATCTTGTAGTGTCTGCGTTCGCCGCTAGGACTGCTAAGTTGAACAAATTTAAATTAGTTTTTAATTTTTTGTTATAAAATTAACTTTTTAATTATAAAATATTGTTTTAAAATTATAAAATAAATTTTTAATTTTTAAAATTAAAGTGTCATAACATAACCTAACCAACCAGACTTGCTGATAATATAAAAACTATATAAGATAAAAATCTAATTAATGATTACTTATAATTTTTAATTAATTATAAAATTAATTTTAAAATTTAGTATTATAAAATTAAACTGTCATAACCTAACCTAACCAACCAAACTTGCTGATATGAAAAATTTGTTGACAAAAAGTAAGTACTGCCAGTGGGTTTCGAACCCCGGACCTCCTGAACACCAATCCGAAACGCTTCCAACTATGCCACGAACGCCGCTGAAATCACATCGTTTCGTTACGGTAATCGTGTCGCCTCAAGAGAAGACATTAACCACTAGAGATATGACGTCACTACACCTTTAGCCTTAGTCCCTTCCGTGTGCCCATTCCCAATCAAGACCCCAAACTGAGCAGGGAGAAGGGAGGTAAATATCAGCAAAATTTCAACCCGAACATTTTTTCAATCAAGACCAAGGCCACACGAATTCTACCGAGCCCAGTATAGGCCTAAGGGAGTAGAGAGAGATGGAGAGCGTGTTTGAGTAAGAACGTGAGAGGTGTTCTAAAAAGAGTGTTTCAGTAATTATGAATTGATTGGTTTTATTCATTAAATAATATGTTACAGCTATGATAATTTTTTAATTGCCTTTATTTAATTTTTTAATTGCCTTTGCAAATTTTACAAATTAAGTTAAAAAACAAACAGAGAGAGATTAAATACGGTAACTAATGTCAACAATTTGTACAATTATTATCAGCCTCTTTCAACTATACCTAGCATAAGAGGACAATATTTATTACAGTAGTGGAAGGTTTTTTTTTAAATTACAGTTGCGTAGCCTACTTAAAACATTTATTGGGAGAACTTAAGGGAAAATAAAACGTATTCAGAAATTTACCATTTATTAATGTAGGTTAAATTTACTTATCAATTAGGCTACATGATTCAAGTTTAAAATTATTGATAGGCCTATCATTGGTTTAATGGCTTCAACTTGTAAAAAAAACATTTACAACCTTGATCAAACAAACCACAATTTAATAAAGTTACTTACAACACAAATGCCTATAATATATTACCCAAAATATTTTTATTTTACCAATTAAGTTAAAGAGGGTAGTTGCCATATTAAATTAGAACTATCAATGCTAGCGCTGGCGGCCGTTCACTGCGGCACTTGCGATAGCGTACGGGGCAAAACCGTGACACACTACCATACATCACTGCACTCCGTACATATGCAACCAATCTTTTCTTTGATCTTTAAAAAAAAACCCTCTAAAGCGCTCATCTCTTTGCTCAGCCTGATGTCTGGATCACTGTATGGACCCCTTGAACCTGTTCCATTCTACCTCCCTTCTTCCTGCTCCGTTTGGGGTCCTGATCAGGGAAAAATTGATAGTGTGTCACCGTCTTAACTGTATTGATCTACCACCTAGCCTTAACTTTAGGTAGGCCCTCAGCCTAGCCGTAAGTTAACTAAGTACCGGTACCGTATTTTGTTCCTCAATAAAGTAAAAAGGGGGTTGTTCCTGCAACACATTTGTTTGCTTCTCTTGTGCTTTCATTGGGTAACTTATATTTATCTTTTACATTAGGCCAACTGTTAAAATATTTTCAACATTAGGTAGGCCTATGTTTATTATAAATACACGAACATGAACATTTAATTTACATTGATAGGCCTATCACACGCACATGACGTGGACAGTCCCGTGCATCATCTACTACCTGCACCGCGACCGTTTGTGTCGTGTACATGTGATAGGGTAAAATCTATTGAAATTATCGATTCGATTAGTAAACCTTCATCCGATTTTTTCATCGTCCGCAAGTTTGGTTAAGGTTGTGACAGTTTCATTTTCTAATTGATATAAGTTTAATTAACAAACATTGATTACCGGTATTAATTGCCATTTTCAATCGATATTAGCGTAGCCTAATTAAGAAACTGTACCCAAGTGAAATAATAATCCCAACTGCCCCAGCAACCAGCCAGGCCCCCCTAACTAAGCAGGCCTAGCCTGCTTCACTAATTATCTAACGATTGTTTTGAAAGAAGCTGAGTAACTTATTCTGCCACTACAGCTTCATTGTGCAAGCACCACCGAGTATTTCAAAGGCCTTCATCTCTCAGATGCCAAGCCTAGGTCAAAGTAGGCCTACAGGTTCTAGCCTAATATTTCATTAGCCAAGAGTAAAGAATGAAATAGCCTAATTTTCTTCAGAATAGCCAATTACAATACAGTACACAATATTACAATTAAGATGAGTTTATAAATTTGAACTTACCTAAACAGAAATAGCCATTGACAACCGGCCCTTCAACTTCGGCCAACACAATTGTTAATCCGGTAAGGGACGATTTGTATTTATGAACTGGAATTAAATCATTTGCTTTAGATGAGCAGACTAGGTAAAAATTGCTCTCTGCTTTAGCAGGGGGAGATTTGTCTACAGGAGCCATCCTTAAAAGAGAAATCAGCGACCCTATTTTTCAAGTAACTTCAAAGATAATGATACAACGAAACTATAACCTAACAGATTGGAATGGAAAACAGGAGATAATCAGCCTAGATCATCCCTGTGAAATCATATATCAATCAATCCGATCCGAATCCGACAAACCAAACAAGCGACAAAAGCCGACAGACAAGTGGATCTGCTAGCTAGCCAGTGCTATTCTCACTATTCTCAGCTGATTTTGATTTTATAGAAGAAGAAAAATAAATAATTCCAAATCTGCTGATCCGCAGTCCGCACGATCCGCATATATAACAGGATTCCAACACAACAATCTTAAAATCAAGCAGTGAATATAGCACTCATGCATTGTAAGGGTTTTGTTTTTGAAAGAATTTTTATTTTGATTCGAAAGACTATTTTATTTGATTTTGAAGGAAATGTTATTTTACTTATGAAGATAGCTTTATTTTAGTAAATATGAATATGATTTTAACCCCAAGGTGTATTTATTATTTCGTCAAGTATAAATTTCGTCAAGTATAAATAATTAATTTAAAACAGAAGAATATTTTGTTCTTATAGCCGAGACGGGCTTTGTTGTCATCAGGACGTATCAGTTGTTAAGAGCGATAAGGCCACTGAGCTAAAATTATAACTGGAGGTAGCACTGCCATGGCAGAAGTCTGTCAAAAGCGAGTCGCTGATTTTGTTAGGTTGGTATAGCAGTAAGTTTTCTTACCATAGCAATAACATGGCTTCTTATAACTAGGTTGGTATAGCAGTGAGTATTTTTGTCATACTTGAATACTTTTAATACTTTAATAATTTTCTTTGAAATGGCGACCATACAAAGTAGGTATTTTAAGCCAAGTATAATAATAGTTATAGCAATAATATGGCTTCTTATGACACCAGACTCACGCAAACATGGCGGCTGGCGACACGCATCTTTGACATTCAGTGCTACCTCCAGTTAGATTTATAGCTCAGTGGATAAGGCGCGGGCGAGCAGTGCACCGTCGAGCCGCCCGTCCAAGCGCGCTGGAACCTGCCGCCGTACAATACCTCGCGACCTTTGCACTGCTCCTGCCCTCACAGGAGGGTATATAAAGGGCTCTGGGTACGGTGGTAGGACAGTTAAGACCCAGCACTCGTACGGTGCGGGTTAGTAGAGTGTAGCAGCACATGGTGCACCGCTAACCCGTAGTAAGGTAAGTTTAGGATAAAGGATAAACGTGTGCAATAGTTATATATTGCACCGTACGGAATTTAAACGAGCGTTAAGGGAAACGTATGCAATAGTTATATATTGCACCGTACGCTGAGGAAGCGTGTGCAATAGCTATATATTGAACCGCTCGGGGTTAGAGTAGGCGTAAGGGATTTCGGCCCACACGTTTACTTTTATCCAACGTCGACTTTCGGCCATCGAGGCATATTATCAAAGTTTATTTCCGATCGATTACAAGGTCTGTGATAGCTGTGATGTAAAGAGTTGTATTGGAGCATAGATAAAACATACGGAGTAAGCTTTTGCTTGACTCATACTCATTTCTGAGCTTAGACTTAGTAATAACATTAAATAGAACCTTGGACGAAATTACCCGCGCTTAGACTGTTTTATCCGGCAAAATTTATTTGTGAGCTACGTTTTTCGACACCCCGGTAATTTTAACCTCCCAGTATAAACTAAAATACCCAGCCTAATGATTATTAACAAGCTTATTGGCTCATGGCCTCATTTTATTACAATCCCACAAATCCCTAGTTCTTACAATATACTGTATATTTCCAAAGTACTATAGATTAAAGCTTTAATCTCTTTGAGATATTATTTATAACTGGAGTCACTACTCTCTGGTTGAACATTATAGAAAAACGTGCCACTGTTATTGCTCGTTTGTTTTCGGTGTTTCGTGTTGTTAGGTTGGCCGTGTGATCGGTTGGTGGGATGCTGTCCAATTTCAATTCTATCTAACCTAATCATACTATATTTATTTGGGACTATCCGTTATTTCAAGGACTCTTCAAATCAAAAACTTATTTAAGCTATTATTGCACGTTAAAACCTGTGGTTTTAAAGTTATTTTGAAACTTTATAAATTGTGTTTGATAGTTATCAATTATCAATTATTTAAGATGGGGACGCCACTATGTGCGTATTTTAACCCAAATATGAGTGAAGGATGAGTGTAGGATGAGTGGCGCGATCTTGTAGTCTTGTTAGTGACTAAGTCAGACATGTTCCTTAGACACAGCTGTTAATTAATAGCCCATACAGCTAATGGCAACTAAGGGACCTACAGTTTATTGTGGAATCCGAACCACATTTTCCCTCGTAATTAACGAATTGGTCTAATTATTAGGATAGTACTGCGGATAGTCGTAGTACTCACTAGCGCGGACGTTAATCCACACCAGTGAGCATCACATCCACAGTGCATCCCTATAAATATCCACAATTCGTGACCTCCTAGTAGCTGGATTACAGGACGACATAAGATAACTTGGCAGGCAGGTAACACAAGCTCATTAATTCGCGTATTATTAATTTAAATTTAAAAATTAATTAAAAGATTGAAAATAAAACATATAGAATTGGAAACCAAAACAATACTTGAATTTAAAAACTATTTTTTAAATTTAAAGTGAAGTAAATATTCCAATAGCCCAGCTAACCAAGCTTTCATATTTTTTAAAAGATATACAAATACTATTAGCTGCATCCAAAACAAAAGCAGCTGTTAAAACCCTAACTTATTGCGATGTTGATGTTGCCACTTCAGAGAATTGGACAACTATTCTGTGTATAGTCAATGCAAGTAGTGTTGTCTAGCACCAGACGTCCCATAAGATAACATAACATGGCAGAAATGTGACATCAGCTCATTAATTTGCGTATCGTTCATTCAAATTACAATTTATTAATACGAGCTGTTGGCCAGTCCTACGTACGGGAATCAAGTAGTCGATTAAAACTAAAAATATAATTCAGAACAGCTAGTTTATACACGCATAAAGAAAAATTCGGACAGTTTAACAATTTTTACTGCATTTAAGGCCATTTTATGTAAGCTATTCCCTGTCTGTGAGGGTATGGAAATCTAAGTGCCATTTTGTCATCAATACTAAGTAGTTTAACCTATACAATTTTTTTAACACTAACCTCGTTCCACCCTGTATAACACAGAACCAACTTGTTTAGTTGAAACATCTGACAAAATTATAAAATTCTCTTTAAACTAGAGGTCGTCCAGTGGTCGAAAACTCTACCAAAATAATGTAATCTACCACAACTTCTTTATTTTTACCCCACGCTTTAAATAAAACATTATACATCGATGAATAAAACATGTGACTGGAATTTGTTCAATTTGTTTTGATTTTCTTTATATCGTTTTAATTTCGTCACCAGCATGATGGCAACCAATAAGGCCCAAGTAATCTTTTTTTATTTAAAATTAATTTTTGTGCTTATTTTTTAGCCTATTTTAATTTATAAAGGGATTCTGCACATCTACAGGAAAATATCTTTCTAACAGGATGCGTAGATTTTACCTGCGATGCACACGAGCTGAGAAAAAAGTTTTTCAAGAAACATTGCCTATTAACTTATAGGATACTCAGGTCAACATGGGGAACTACAGAGCCACTGGGGCGGAGCCCGAAATGATTTTTGAGATAAGGATAGGCCAATCCGTCCAGTAGTAAATGCGCGATTGAACCCCAAACAAACATAAAAACTTTCACATTTATAATAAAAGTACGATTGTAAAAAAGTGGCATGTTTTACTAAAATTTAAACATCATATGAGTGTCAGATATGAAATCTGACCATTGACTTTGGAGTCTTACCATTGACTTAAGCCATTGACTTTGGATACCGTATAGATAGTACGGTATCCAAAGTCAATGTTTTAATTTAGGATACTAGTGAGCTAACTACGTTATTTCGCAAGGTCTACGCGTCATTCAGGTGTCATTTATCAAACTAGTCAAAGGTAGATCGCCATTGATTGCCTCTAACTCTCTTTGACCTCTGACAACTGATTGATTACAACTTTATCTGATAAAGCACAGCTCTCTCTAGTAAACAAGTGTTGGACTAACGACTATATGAATGTAGTGTATCTACATTCTACCATTGACGTGTATAGTCAATGATTCTACACTCAACAGTAGTGACCTTCAAAGGTTTAATAAAGTGAAAGTCAAAAGACACCATCCTACTGGGAATACTGTAGGCCCTACCCTAGGTAACCCCTCTGTGCTATACACGCTATACGTCCATTACGTATAGCGCTATACGTACAATGAATACAATGAATACAATGAATACAATGAATACAATGAATTTATTTGGCCAATCAACAACAACATTGTTACAGGCTATGTCAATGTACAAGCATAATGTACAAGCATAAATAAAATAAATATCATGAGTTAAAAATCAAACCAACCAAAAATCGATCAAAACCAACCATGTGAAAAAAATATGTTCAAGACCATGCACAAAAAGATACAAAGCAAAACAAATGCAGTTCATCAATATATACGTATATTGCTATACGTCCAATCTTCTTATTTGTTGACAATTTCAACTGTATTTTTTACCCGTAATCGAAATGTCCTTACGAGAAAAAAAACTATTAAACAACATAGTTCAGCTTTTGTTCCAAATCTGCAGATTAATTCGCTACAGAACTATTTACGTTTTCAGTTCTAGCTTTGTTTAACATGTATATTGGGTTAGTTGAAAATCGAACAACAGGTTTTGAAATATCAACTGACATTGGTTGTTATTTGATTTGTTGTTTGACTCGTTTATCTCAAACAAAAATTACAATTGAAACATAAATCACAAGAGTTCGTTCCATAATAAATACCACCAATGTAACTATAGCGTATCACGCCAAAGTGTTAATCAGCTATTAGGCCTACTGATGTTTTTTTATTCAAGGCTCCTGTTAAAATTATAAAACATTACTACAAATGAATATTTATAAATACCTAATGCCATATTTGTTCCATAAACAGTTAACATTTAATTTAGCCTAAACATAATAAAACGAATACAATACAATTTACTGAATATAGTTTTGTCTTTGACGAGTAGATTATTGAGAACACGACTACAATA